CCGGCCACTGCAGCCTTGACCTGCTGGGCTCCGGCGATCCTTCTGCCTCAGCCTTCCGCGTAGCCGGAATTACAGGCATGCGCTACCACGCCGGGCTGATTTTTATTTATTTATTGTACAGATGAGGTCTCGCTGCCCAGGTGGGTCTCGAACCTGCGAGCTCAGGCAATCCACTCACCTCAGCCTCCCAAAGGCGCGGAATTACAGGCTGAGCCACCGAGCCTGGCTGATTTTTTTTTTTAATGGTGTATAATGGGAAGAAGCCACTTGATGCCAGTGAATTTACATTAACCATCAAAATCTGTATACATTTTGTAAATAGAGCACACAGGAGAGTGGAACATACACTTACTTTGCCTATAGGTCATGTTTGGTGAGGTTTTAAGATTTGCAGAAACTCTATGGTCACCGAAGGACCTGTGGATCTAAAGTTGAGAATCACTGATTTAAATGACAGAAGAAGCCCCTGAACACTTTGTCTTTTTCCACTGGGTTATTTAGAATTCCCTCAGTGGTGGCTAGGATCTTGTGCCCCATGATTGCACTCATTAGACTCTCTCAAGAATGAAATTATCAACCAGGCATGGTGGCTTGTGCCTATAATCCCAGCTACTCAGGGGGCTAAGGCAGGAGGATTGCTTAAAGTGAGAGTTCGAGGCCAGATGGGCAACATGGCAAGACTTTAATTTAAAAAAAATAGGAGCCAGGTGTGGTGACTCAGCCTGTAATCCCAGCACCTTGGGAGGCCGAGGTCAGGGGTTTGAGACCAGCCTGGGCAACTTGGTGAGACCTCGTCTCTAAAATATATCAAAAGAATTAGCCGAGCATGGTAATGCGCACCTGTAGTTCTGGCTACTTGGAAGGCTGAGGCGGAAGGATTGCCTGAGTCCAGCAAGTCGGCACTGGGGTAGCTGTGAGTGTGCCACTGCACTCTAGCACTCTAGCCTGGGCAACAGAGTGAGACTGACTTAAAAAAAAAAAAAAAGAAGAAGAGAGAGAGGCCAGTTGCCGTGGCTCATGCTTACAATCCCTGCACTTTGGGAGGGCAAGGCGGGAGAATTACTTAAACTCAGGAATTTGAGACCAGCCTGGGCAACATAGAGAGCCTCGCCTCTACAAAAAAGCAAAAAATTACCTGGGCATGGTGGTGCGTGCCTGTAGTCCCAGCTATTTGGGAGGGTGAGGTGGAAGGATTGCTTGAGGCTAGGAGGTTGAGGCTGCAGTGGCTGTGATTATGCCACTGTACTCCAGTCTGGATGACAGAGTGAGACAAAAAAAGAAAGAAGAGAGAGAGAGATTGGGTGTGTTCTCTGGTCTTCTCTCATGAAAGGTAATCTTTATCCTTCCATAGATTTTTATGACATCTGCGATGAGGACTGCCATGGCAGCTGCTTGGATACCAGCGAGTGCACGTGCTCTCCAGGAACCGTGCTAGGACCTGACAAGCAGACATGCTTTGGTAAGAAACTAATTATGAAGCAGATACAGGCTTTTAGAATTCAAGGGACATGTCAAAAGCTCTTCCTGCCTCAGAGTGCCATCGTTCTCCCAGTTTGTGTGTGAGTACGTGGAATGATGTTTGTCTTTTCGGTTGATACTTCGGCTAAAGCTTAAATTTGCATCATGATTAGAGACAGTCGAGAATTGTGCTCTCCACTAGAGATGCCATTAGTCACAGGTGGTATGGAGCACTTGAAATGTGGCTAGTGTGATTGAAAAACTGAATTTTAATTTTACTTAATTTTAATTTAAAAACTGATATTTGATTCCATCGTTGGAAAACTAAAAGTGTCTGGGTGGGACAACTTAAGTAACTAAATTTTATGACTCAATGTACAGATCAAATATTTCTAATGAAAATTTGTCATCTGAGTTGAGATGTGCTATTCATTTTAAAATTTATTAAAATTCATTTTTAAAAGTGTGTCCAAAACACATACCCGTTTTTGAAGACTAATACAAATAAATAATGAAAAAGATCCCATTAATTATAGTATTAATTATATATCAAAATAAAAATATTTGGGATATAATTGGGTCAAATAAAATATACTATTAAGGTTAATTTTACCAGTTTCTTTTTTAAATTTTTTAAGGTGACTACTAGAAACTTTAAATTAGCTATGTGGCTTTCCTTATATATCGACTGGACAGCACTGGTTTAGAACCATAATTTTGGTTGCTCTGAGTAGCAAGAAAGGGGCATCAGATAGTTTGTAGGAAATCCTGAGATGTTAAATTGTATATAATGTTTTGTTGTCTATAACTGGAAGAGAACAGAGATGAAAAACCCAAATTGAAGATCATCTCTCTTTCTCTTTAATGTGACGAAGCTTTTTGGATCCAGGCTCAAATGGATTTAAAACAAGTCTAGAGGTAAAAAGGAGGCCTGCCCTGCCCCCGTCTCCCAAAAAAGATCAGTAACAGGTCAGGAAGGGATAGAGGATTAGGGTAAAAGGGATACAAAAAGGATTTTTATTTAGAAAAGCTTTTACTCCTCAATCACCTAAATGAGCCCCACTGAGTATCCTATAGAGCTTGTTTGGGCTCTGCCATAGCAGTTGTTAGGGGGCTCACGTGATCTATTTTGACGATGTGATTTAATGCTGAATGCCTCAGGGTAAGGGCATAGCGGTTCCTATAATCTCCCACTCCTCACATGCACATGAATCTGTTGGATAATATTTGACTTCATTTTAAGCTAGAAGTTTTTTATTCATTTCTTTGCTTTTGTTTTAATATAACTTTTGAATAGGTGATATGTCTAAATGGTTCCCAAATTAAACAGCATGAGTGTGTGTACGGTGAACTGTCTAGCTCTCAGGGACCCATTTGCTCTATGTCTCCATTCCTCAACTCCATCCCAAGGAAACTCCTGTATTGTTTTCCTATGGAGCTTCTAGGGCTTCTTCAGGCAGATATAAAAATGCAAATATATATATTTGTTTATTGTCCTTTCTTTTTACATCAAAGGTAGCATACTGTATACATTTCTTCCTTAATTTATCTTGGACATCTTTGTCTGTCAAAGCCCCAAGTTCCTACCTGGGACCTATGGACTTTCAGAGAGACCATGAATCCTGTGAAATTATAGGCAGACTCTTGTGTTTGTATGCATGTGTCAGTGTTCCCTTAGTTTTTATTTAAATGTAACATTTTAATTATTTTAAATTATATAACTTTTTCAGGCAGAGACAAGTACAAGAAAATAATATAACAGATACCCACGTACTCAGATTTAACAATAGGCCGGACACGGTGACTCAGGCTTGTAATCCCAGCACTTTGGGAGACTGAGGTGAGGGGACTGCCTAAGCCCACGGGTTCGAGACCAGCTTGGGCAACTTGGTGAGACCTCCTCTCTACAATATATCAAAAAATTAGCTGGGCGTGGTAGCACACACCTGTAGTTCCGGCTCCTTGGAAGGCTGAGGCAGGAAGATCGCCTGAGCCCAGCAGGTCAATGGGGGTGGCTATGAGAATGCCACTGCACTCCAGCCTGGGTGACAGAATGAGACTCTGACTCAAAAAAAAAAAAAAAAAAAAAAGTTAAATTTTGCTTCCTTTTTCTTTTCATTTAAATAAAATTTTACAGATACAAATAAAGCCATCATACTTCATCACACTTTCCTCTCTCACTCTCCAGAGGTAATCATTGTTTTGAAGTTAGCATGTGCTTTTATGCTTTTATTATTTATGTATGCACCCATAGCAATATTTAGCATTGTTTTCTGTGTTCTTAGAATTAACATAAAAATAATACCTTATCCAATGTATGAGATTTTCTCTAGGGAATACGCATAAGAATGGAATTGCTAGGGCATCATGTATCTAAATTGGCGATAACAATAAGCCCCCAAATAACAATGGCTTAAAAAAGTAGAAGTTTATGTCTCCCTCATATTAAATTTTAAAAAATTCAGTCCAAGGCCAGCATTCCAGGGTCGGAATGAAGTCCCCAAGCACAAGTGTGACCACGTCTGCATCCAGGGAAGCTGCGAGACTCTAACCATTCATTTTCCAGACAGTGTAATGAGAGAAGGGAACTAAGGAGCCTCGATCAAGATTCTTTTTTTTTTCTTTTTGAGTGGAGTCTCACTTCATCACCCAGACTGGAGTGCAGTGGCACGCTCCCGGCCACTGCAGCCTCAACCTGCTGGGCTCCGGCGATCCTTCCACCTCAACCTTCCAAGTAGCCGGAATAACAGGCACACACTACCACACCTGGCTAGTTTTTGATTTATTGTGAGACGAAGTCTCGCCAAGTTGCCCAGGTGAGTCTCGAACCCGCGGGCTCAGGCAATCCAGTCACCTCAGCCTCCCATAGTGCTGGGATTACAGGCTGAGCCACCGAGCCCATCCTCGATCAAGATTCTTAATCTTATGGATGATATTTTTCATTTCTATGAGTTCTATATGTCTTACAGCAGATAATCTTCTGTTGCCATCTTCTGTTTTCTGTGGGACTCCACTCCTAGCACCTGGTGTCTTAATTTAGTATTGCTATAAAAGAACACCTGAGCTGGGGGGCACTTGTAAAGACAAACGGTTTATTTGGTTCATGATTCTGCTGGCTGGAAGACTAGGTATCTGGTGAAAGCTCAGGCTGTTTCCACTCATGGCAGAAGGTGAAAGGGAGCTGGTCTGTGCAGGGGTCACATGGCAAGAGCAGAAGCAAAACTGGGGAAGGGTAAGAGGCTCTGTTTAACAATCCGCTCTCACTGTAACGAACAGAGCAAAAACTTGCTTAGTTCTTAGTTCTTAGTGAGGACACCGCGAAGCCATCCCTATGAGGGATCCACCCCTGTGACCCAGACACTTCCCATGAGGTCACACCTCCAACATTAACATCAGATTTCAACATGAAGCTTGAAGGGTCAAATATCCAAACAATAGGACCTAATTTGAGGAAGTTTTACAACAGAGCTCTTTTTCAAATGCTTCTGTTGGGCATTCCAGAAGTGTTACCAGTCCAAGCCAAAGTTTACATCGGTTTCTCAGCTTCAAGATCTTCATACCACGTGGAAAGTATAAATCGATACTTCAACCATGGCAAGGCCCTGGCTTGATTTCCATTATTTGTGAAGCATTTTCTTTCTCCTAGAGCCTCTGGCAAAGATCTTCCTCATTGCTTCTCTGGACCACTGGACAAATTTTTCTGGACTCCCAGACTTAAAGCATGGTTTCAGTTACAGCTTATCTCCTTTCCTGGGCCCAAGGCCAACTCCCTTGTCACAACATGGGTGTTTAAACCCAGTCCCTGGTTTATGTCCTATATCCAGGTCTATTATTTCTGAGGGCCATGACAAATTTAGTTCTCAAGTTTCCCTTTCTTTGTTTGTAGAAGGGGGTAGACATTTGCTGCCAACTGTGCATTTTTTATGGCAAGAGTTCATATCTTTCATCAGGTTCTTAAAAAGGTTAGCAAGTATTGCTTAAGTACACTGTGAGAATGTTCCAATTTTAAAAAGATGTTGAGGGCAATTGTTGATGTCATAACAGAAGATTGCCTTACAAAATATTTTGTCAGTTATTTCCCTCAGGAATGTAAGCTCCTTTCATGATTTAAAACACAATTTACTTTATACGTTTGTATTTGTTTAGCAACTTTTCGGGAACTCATTGGAGAAAGTGAAATTCACCAATGCAAATACACATCTGTACCCAGGACACAGAAGGAACTTCATTTCCCCATAGCTTTGCCCTTAAGAGGAGGGGACTGGCAAGCAGTTAGGTGCCCCCCACTCAGCAGAGGGCAGGTGAACAAAGAACTTGGTAGAGGAGATCAGGTACGTAGAAGTGATTATACTGGATCACAGCGGGGGAGTTGCATCATAGAAGGTGCATCAACAAGGAGATGTGGAGATTCTGCTCAGGGCCTGGGAAAAGATTGAGTTGCTTACAGTATGGAAACGCTGTGGTTTCTCTTCTACAGATGAAAATGAATGTGAACAAAACAATGGTGGCTGCGGTGAGATCTGTGTGAACCTCAAAAACTCCTACCGCTGCGAGTGCGGGGTTGGTCGCGTGCTAAGCAGTGATGGCAAGACTTGTGAAGGTGAGAATGGGTAAGAAGGAACTCGAGTGAGGAACCCAGAGGAAGCCCTTGGCTTATGCTTTGATGTTCAGGACATTGCCTCAGTATTAGAAGACAGCAGCGGTTTGGCTTTGTAAAGAAATGATGAAAGGGGTTCATCACTGAAAATGCTCGCAGCATGAACAGAATTCAGTGCTGATTTGTCTCCAAGATTTAAGAGGAAGATATTTCACAAGAAGCAGAAAGCCACGTTTTTACTTGGGAAATGAAAATAGGGTATTCTGTGTTTCTCAAACTTTAATGTGCCCACAAATCGTATAGGATCTTGTGAAAAATGCAGATTCTGATTTAGTAGGTCTGGGATCCGGTCAAGTTATTGCATCTTTAAATAGCTTCAGTGACATTTATGCTGCTGATCCAAGAAGTATGCCTGGATTAGCGAGGAGATAGAGACAGGTAGCATAACAACTGGCATACAGCAGTATTTCTCAAACCTCCCTCCCGCTGTGAATCTTATACCCAGCCCCTTCCAGGTCTGTCTCCCGGAGATTGCTTCAGAGAGGCTAGGATAGGGCCTTAGAGCTTGTGTGTTTAACAAGTGCCACAGGTGATTCTTACCATCTTGGAAGTTTGGGAAACTGGTTTACTTGAAGTCATTCCTCACCTCCCCATATGCTTTGTATTTATTGGAGATTAATATTTTTTTGGAGATAAAATGACATTTATATTTTGTAATTTAATTTTTTAGATCTATTTTTAAAAGCAGGGATGATGTATACATTTTATATGACTAAGTAACAAGAAATAATTCATAATGTACATCAGATAATTGCAATGAAAATTGTCTACTACTGTTAAAAGAAACTTAGATAGTGTCTCTTCTCTTAGGTCATTTACCATTGCAAATTATCACAGCTAAAATTTCATCACTTCTACTTTAATAAATCTGAGTTCTCATGATGCTCTTTGCAGATTATATGATGAGATAAATGACTTAACTGCTATTATTTACAGAGGACTTATATGATTTGTGCCTTAGAATAATTAAATTTGTGGAATAATAGAGATGTAGTACTGCTTACAAGAGCTCCCTTTATTCTAGCTATATTCAAAATAATAAAAGAATACTCCAAAAGGAAAAATTGACCCAAAAATCAGCCAGGTGGGGTTGTGTGTGCCTGTAGTCCCAGCTACTCAGGAGGCTGAGGTGGGAGGATTGCTTGAGCCCAGGAGTTTGAGACTGCAGTGAGCTGTGATCGTGTTACTGCACTCCAGCCTGGGCAACAGAGTGAGACTCCGACTCAAAACAAACAAAAATAAAGGCAAAAAATTGTGACTAGTGCCCATAATTTATTCCATGCAACGAACTTTGCATTATTAACTGAGGGTCCCTTAACCAGAATATTAAATGGTTGTCCTTTATAACAAGACTGAATGTATTTTAAACTTTATTGAATAAGAGTAATATCCTAAATCCACCTTAAATCTTAATTATGTAATATTTCTTGCATATTTGAATACTAATACAATGTTCCACAAGGAACATTTGCAATATTTATGAACACTTTATTGGAAATATTACAGTTGATCCTCATATAATCTTAAAACCTCATAACCATAACTGAAAACATTTTAGCAGATGAAAATTGTATATGAGTTATACTTTAGAATTAATAATCTTAAGTTTTATTGATAGTCCAAACATCTATGTTTCTTTAGCTAGGCTAAGTGATAATTATATGTTCTTTAAAAAATAAACAGTTCTTTGTAATTTTAAAGTAATTTTTATTGTTTAGTTTTATTATTAAAAGGCTAGAAAGAAAATACTGAGGAGTAAAAGGAAAATAATTACAATGACCCACAGTCCCATTTGTCAGGTATAGCCATTCTAAACACTTTCTTCCTGAGAGACTTAAATCTTTCAAGCTAATTTAGGTTTTTAGTTTATTTTGAGCTTCACAGTTTTAAAATATCCAGAATTTTAAAATATCCTGAGTGAACATTTGAAATTGCAACTCAGAGAAATAATAACTTAAGGAAAGTCATTTTTTAAAAGTCCTATTAATGTTTATTTTTTCACATATTACAGCATATTTTTGTTTTATTCCATAGTATTATATATCACTTTGAGCTATTCCAAAAGCCCATAGGGGTGCTTTTATCCTTTTAATATATACAGATGGTTCCTAATCTATTTTAAGTACTCTACAAAATACCTGACCAGCTTAATTGGGTAAAGATTAATTCGTTGCAATTATTCTTCTCTATATCCACTTCACAAATTCATCCCAAGTTAATTTATTAGTATTCCAAAGAACTAATTTTGTTTTTGACAGTTACTGAACTGAGAAAGTTACAGCTATAACTGGAAATCAGCTTCTATCTTTCCCTGAGCATTTCAAATGATTGGAAAATATTTTCTTCCACTATCTTTACCTAGGACAGGGTCAGCAAACTTTTTCACTGAAGGCCAGGTAGTAAATATTTTAGGCTTTGTGGACCATAGGTGATCAATAGAAATGACTCAATTCTGCCTTTGTAGTGAGAAAGCAGCCATGTAGGTAAGCAAGTGGGCATGACTGTGGGCTATTAAAACTTTATTTGTAACAGTGTGTAGCAGGTTAAAGTTTAAAATCCCTTGACCTAGAAAATAATGTCTAGGTCCCACAAAGGTCATTGTTTTTCCTCTGTTAAGTTTGAAATCATATGGTACTTCCTTCAGTTTTCAGTGGAATATTTTTTCCTTTTTGTCCATTTGACTTGAGTTTGCTTTTTGAAAATTCAAAACATTAAAAAAGGAAACTTTAAAAATCTGCCTCATGGGAGGAGTATCACCAAGAATTTGTTGGAATGAGTGTTACCCAGGCCTCATTTCTGTAGTGTACTGTCAGCCCCAAACCTTTTATTCCCAGTGTTTTTGTTCCTAGAGATTCGAGGAGAGGGACAGGTGATCTAGCCATTCCACAATAACTCTGGTCCATCTAGCTGATCCAGTTGAATTTTATATTTCATCAGTCCCCTTTACATAGGTAATGCTCTATACAATATCACATTGGGTAGATTAAATGTTACAGCAATTAATAAATTACTTTTGGGTCTTACTACTGAAAACCCATAATCCCAGTCTAACCATAAGAAAAAATACCAGACAAACCCAAATAGAAGGCTAACTCTACAAATTATCTGACCAGCTTCATTGGGTTAAGCCGTGGATATTGGATTATTCTTTGTAGCTATAACCTTTAATAAGCATTTTTGTGTGTGTGTGGGCTAGCTTGCATGTCTCGGACACTGGTTAGACACCAGTGATCCTGCCATGAGTTAATTCCTGATTCTAAGTACCAGAATTCTTGGGATGGAGGGTTACAAAATGATTTCCTTTTCTGTTGGTTTTTACTGCAGACATTGAAGGATGCCACAATAACAATGGTGGCTGCAGCCATTCTTGCCTTGGATCTGAGAAGGGCTACCAGTGCGAATGTCCCCGGGGCTTAGTGCTCTCTGAGGATAACCATACTTGCCAAGGTAGTACATGCATGGGCTTGATCTCTGCTCTGATTTACACTTCTTCTTCCCCTGAAGACCCTCACCTTCCTCCCCCAAGTGCGTCAGGGTTCTCATCTTCTAGAACACCAGCCCTCTGTGCAACGTGAGTCCCTGAATCATTGCTCTGGATTCATTGAAAAGAGAAGATCTCTAAGAAAATATTACCAACAAGCTAACTTTCCTTTGCTGTTTGCCTTTAATTTTTCTCTAATTTCCATGATTAGTTGTACAACCAATACTCAATTTGGAAGTATATGACCTTGATGCAGCCCTTCTCAGATAATTTCTACAGATAATTGAGTTGAAACTAAGTGAAACTTAGTTGAAAGCCCTGGGAAATGGATTATTTTCCCTACACTACAATATGAACGTTAACAATCTTCTGAGAACTATTATCTGTAAATCTAGTATTTCGTGTCCAGTATATTAATTCAGTCATCTAACAATGCATTTAATAAGCACCTGTTTCTGATTTCTTTACACCATGCCATTGTTATGATATGTCCTCACACACTGGACTCTGATATCCTCATTCTTTTTAGGGTATTTGTAGAGTCTGGAGAAGTAAACATGGGGATGCTGAGGAAAAGCCATCTTTTTTACATTAAGTTAAAGTGGTGAAATTTACAAGGCAGAATTTATGGTTTACTGAGCAATGCAAGGACAATTTGGAAGCCTTCCTCAAGTGTACTAACACTGTTTTTATTACCTCTGTTTTACGAGGCAGTAATTAACAGTAAAGTCACAGCAGTATCGTTATGTACCTTAAGCCTTTATCAAAGCAGTACTTTTTCTGTGTTGCCAATAAATTGTGTTTGTGTAGAAAGTTAATCCTTTAGGTGTTTCAGTTCTTGGAGTTATGCTAGCTACACTTTGAAACAAATGCTTGTTGAACTGAAACTTGAGCACAGTATTTCCCAATTTGGGGAACCTTATATCTAAGGAACATTATCTGACCATAATCTTGGGAATGAGCAAAACTGGTTTTATTGACCAACTTGTCTTGAGCTCCATAGATTTCCTTGGGCCTAGAACAAAAACCTCTGGTTGTGTGAGGGAGAAATTATTTCTCCTAGAAGGCTTCCTCCCAGTTTGGGTTTCCTGGGTCTAACACTGCCCCCTTTGACTGCAGTTCCCGTGTTGTGCAAGTCGAACACCATCGAAGTGAGCGTCCCCAGGGAGCTGGTTGGCGGCTTGGAGCTCTTCCTGACGAATACCTCCTGCCGGGGAGTGTCCAACGGCACCCACGTCAACATCCTCTTCTCCCTCAAGACGTGTGGCACAGTGGTCGACGTAGGTTCCTCCTGGAAGGCACTTGGGGAATGACCAAAAGCCAGTTAGATGGGAGGTGGTGGACAGCGGTATGCGATGTGGCTTTTGGCATAGACGAGATATTTACATATAGAAGAATTGAGCTAAAACGTCTTATGTCGTTCATTTAGCAAACGTGTTATTGAGCACCATGAGGAATCCTGCTATTCCTGTCCTCAGAGAGCCCATCTCTCTAGGACGTACAGTTCCCCTGAATGTATCAGCACCGGTCGTCCTGCGAGGCTGGCTTGCCCCGACCAATTATTTGAAGAAAGCAACTAATATAGATGATGGTTCATTCATGATGTAGTGAATGAGTTCAAGTATTGAAATGTTTATACTTTCATCCAAAAGTCTGCACACAGCCCTGTGCTGGAGAGTCTGAGGGATGTATGATGCCCTGTCTTTTAGGAATGTGCACAGCAATATTGAGAGGACAACATATAAAATATAACCCAGCATGTGTTTTGTATTTTGTTGCATTGTACACTGCAACTAATAAGCCAAGGAATCGACATATATTAGGTGCATGTACTGTTTTTTAAAAACCACAAACTAAGAATGATAAATTATCAATATAGTTTAGTATTTGCTCGTTTTACTACACTCTTTTGCTATGTATATGTAGGGAAGTCATAGGGATTATAAATTCAATTTGAGTAAAGTTTAAAACCATATATTTTATGATAAAGGGCCTTTAACTTAAGATGGCCAAAGCACTGATATTATATATTTGCTGTAAAGAGAATTATGAGTTTTATTTTTCTGATATTAAAAGTTACTTAATAAAGACTTGTTTCCATTAACTTGAAAAATAAAAATAAAATAAAATATAAGTAAGGGATGGAGGAGTCCAGTCAAGAGATAAACACTGGAGCAGTCAAGACAAGTGGGACCTTGGATTGGGGTGGAAGTGTGTGTGTGGTTTACACAGGCAGAGAGGAAAAGAAAGTTATGCTAGCTTCACTTTTCAGATGGGAAGCATGTGAGCAAAGCCTCACTTTGAGACTTTGAGAGAGGGGAATATGCTGCGGTGAATGGTCAGTGCTGCCTGACTGGCAAGGCATTCATTTGGAAAACGAAACTGGAGACATAGATGGGCAGACAGTGCTTTCAAAAGCCCACCTCATTCACTGGGGAAAGCCATGATCTAGCAGATGAAAGCAAGAGGGATGCAGCGAGGAGAGCCTGCGTGCAGACCAGGGCAGAGGCCTTTGTGATCATATGGCTAATACAATATTTGTTCGTGACCCTTACTAAATAAACATCAGACGCTAATTAGACTTGGGGTGAGACAAGAGGAGATATTCAAGGAGCAGGCAGCCCCACTTTAGGCAGATTGTATTGATTGTATCTGTGGGTGATCAAAGGGAAGCATGGGTGACAAAGCTGGTGATAAAGAGCTGAAAATCATCTGTGTAAATGTCACAGCTGAGGTTCTGAGTAGGGATGAGTTCAGCACAAGGTCATGCTAGTGCAGCATTACCAGGTCTAAAATTCCTGAAAAAAAAAAATAGCATGCAGAAACTGTCCTTCTCTAGAATACCAGAGCTTTGAGCTTGCTGATTCTGCATAGATCAGTTTTTATGGGTAGTACTTCAAAGGAATGTGTGGGCTGACTGACCAAGAAGCAGCATATAAAACTCAGAACAGTCAGGATGACAAGAGGAGGGCAATGAAAAAGTAAAAAAAGCTTCAGGCTTAGGCAACCCAATCTCTAATGTGTTTTTTTTAAAGATGTGAATTAGTGTATTCATTTTTCCCTAAGATGCCATATACATGAGAAGGAGCTCACATTAGAGCTCTCATTTTTAGAATGTCTATCATCTAATGTGTTTTGATATAAACAGAAGTTGAGAGAATGTTCTGGTTGGTGGGGGGGAGCTCTATAGAAATAAACGGAGAATCTCTTTCCTCTCCTCCCCCGACCTGGCTCAGGTGGTGAATGACAAGATTGTGGCTAGCAACCTTGTGACAGGGCTACCCAAGCAGACCCCAGGGAGCAGCGGGGACATTATCATCCGAACCAGCAAGTTGCTGATCCCGGTCACCTGCGAGTTTCCACGCCTGTACACCATTTCTGAAGGCTACGTTCCCAACCTTCGGAACTCCCCGCTGGAAATTATGAGCCGAAACCACGGGATCTTCCCGTTCACGTTGGAGATCTTCAAGGACAATGAGTTTGAAGAGCCTTACCGGGAAGCTCTGCCCACTCTCAAGCTTCGCGACGCCCTCTACTTTGGCATTGAGCCCCTGGTGCACGTGAACGGCTTGGAAAGCTTGGTGGAGAGCTGCTTCGCCACCCCTACTTCCAAGATCGACGAGATCCTGAAATACTACCTCATCCAGGATGGGTAATTCCCCTGCTGGGATGGTTTCATTATTCCCAGGCCACATCCAGCCTCTCAGTGCACGAGCACACTCACTAACACTGCACGGCCCTCTCCCAAACTTGTTTTCAGTTCAGGGACCATTTATTGACATTTCAGAGGTCAAAACTGGTGGGGGAAAAGGGGAGTCAGCAATAACTCCAGGGTATCCCCCCCAGGTAACTGACAAGATGCCTGCTGTTAACCAAAATGAAAAGGTAGATGTAGAAAGCAGATTTAAGGTGAAAAAAAAATTGAATTTGATCATTCAAATTAATATATTGAGTACTTTAAACTTTCAAATACCAGTAGGATACCTAGGAAGAGAAGGCCAGCGGGCACTCTGAAATGCGTGTCAGTGAAACTCAGGAACACAGTCAGGACTAGAGGTGAAGGACTGAGACTCACCCTCTTTCAAGCTGAGGCTGTAGGTTGGGCAAACCTGCTCAGAAAGGGCAGAACATCGTGGAGGCGGGGATTGAGTCCTGGTGTGGGTGGCTGAGAGCACAGGGCATGTGGAAGTAAAAAAAGCACACATAGATTCCTCCTTGAAAAAGTTTGGTGGGCCAGGCATGGTGGCTCATCCTATAACCCCAGCACTATGGAAGGCCTGAGTCCGGGGGTTTGAGACCAGCCTGGGCAACTTGGTGAGACCTCGTCTCTACACTAAATCAAAAAATTAGCCAGGCATGGTGGTGGCACCTTCCTGTGGTTCCAGCTACTTGGAAGGCTAAGACAGAAGGGTCACCTGAGCCTAGCAGGCAGAGGCTGCAGTGGCCGTGAGCATACCACTGCACTCCATTCTGGGTGACAGAGTGAGACTCCGACTCAAAAAAGAAAAAAGAAAAAGTTTGATAGTGAAGGACAGAGAAGAAATGAATGCTTGGTAAATTTTAGGAGAAGAAAGATATAGCAACAAAAAGAAAGAAAAGAAGGGAAAAAAAAAAGCAAGATATTGCAGAGTTTGCTTGTGTGCTTGTTTTACACAAAGGAGATTTCTTTGGTATTTCCCAAGGATCCTTGGATGGAGATCTGTAGGATCTCTTGAGATATTAATGGAAGCCTAGCTGTTTTCACAACCATTGCTTACATTCCCAGAAAAATTACCCTATAATCCCAAACTCATAGTAGTATCTGATGAGTTTTTTTCCTTGTTCTCAGTGTCAGGTGGGACACAGCCTCAGGTAGAGTCAGAAAACTTAACCAAAGGGAAAAATGTGGCCTGGCATGGTGTCTTATGCCTTTAATCGCAGTACTTTGGGAGGTTGAGGTGAAAGGATTGCTTGAGTACAGGAGTTCAAGACCAACCTGGGCAATATAGTGAGACCTCGTCTCAACAACAACAAAAAAACAATCAAAAAATTAGCCAGGCATGGTGGCACACACCTGTAGTTCTAGCTACTTGGGAGCCTGAGGTGGAAGGATCACCTGTGCCCAGGAATTCGAGGCTACGGTAAGCTGTGATTGTGCCACTGCACTCCAGCCTGAGCGTCAGAGTGAGATACTGACCAAAAAAAGAAAAAAACGGTCTAGTATGAGCAGCCCAGTGCACCTTGGGTTCTGTCCCTCAGCTGCCTGGCCTGCAGACTCTTGGACATTTCTACTTTACTTTTACTTCACCTTGTCTGTCACCACAGACAACCCTTGCCTGCTGCTGTCCATCTGTTGCACAGCGATTATTCAATGCTGGATGCACATTAGGATCCACTGAGAAGCTTTTTTTTTTTCAAAATAGCAATGCTGCAACCCTGTCCTCTCTTTTCCACTCTTATGGTCTTAATTCCGGCCTTCCTTGTCTTTCACCTGGACAGCAAAACTGCCTCCTAACACAGCCTTCTAAACCCACCTCTCACATCTCAGCTCCACAGAGCCCCTGGGCAATCCATTCAGAAGGAAAATATGATCTTGCCATATCCCTGCCGAAAACCGATTAATGACTTCTTCTTAGGTTTGGTTGGTAAATTTAACTATTTCCAAGAAGGGCTTCTTGCCCCAGACTCCTGTGGCCTTCTCAGCTCATTTTCATAATATGGCAAGTTAAATATGGCCATCTTAAAGTGATCTCTAGAAAGTTTTAAGATTAAAAGTAGAAGCATTGCTTTCTATTCTTTTTGGTCACATACCTCATCCTAAATGGTAAAAAATAATTTTACTTTTTTGCAGCGAGGGGTGGATTTTTGTACCTTTTTATTTTGTTTTATTTTTGTTTACAACTTTCATGGCATACTATTCACAGACAATAAGTATATATTATTTAAAGTGTATAGTTTGATAAGTTCTGATATATACACTTATGAAACCATCATGACAATCAAGATAATGAATGTTCCTCTCACCCCAGAAGTTTCCTGCTGCCCCTACATTTACTTTTTGAAAAAATAAGTATATAATCATAACACATTTATTGTGAAAATATATAACCTGTAGTCTCAGCAGAGCTTGTGAAACTTATTAATATATTTGCTATCCAGAGTCTCAGTGAACAACCATTTACTGGTAAACAACTATTTTTTAAAATTTTACACTGCTCTAAGAAGCTGCAGTATTTATTTTGCCAGCCCCTACCATATACAAAAGAGAAAAAATATATTCTGCAGAGAAAAAAAAGCGTAGGCAAGAATTAGAAAACCACAGCGGTATGGGCCTAATTTGCAAGCAAATAACCCTGTCTGTCGTACTATACAAGAATGGCATGTATCAGATTATCTAATTCCCACCTTGGCTCACTGGGCCCTCTTGACCTTGGCCTCCTTCAGCTTCTGCTCCTGCACTGGGGATTGCTAATAGTTCCCAGTTGTCATTCCTGAACACCCTTCTGATTTTGTACATGCTGTTTCCTCTCCTGAAATCTTCTTCCCCGCTTTTTTTTCCCTGACTGAATCTTACCAATTCTTCAAGATTCAGTGGGTTTACTCCCTCTATGAAGCCTTCCCTGATTCCTTTCGATCAAAAAAGGAAGGCAGCCGGGCTCGGCGGCTCAGCCTGTAATCCCGCGCCTTTGGGAGGCTGAGGTGAGCGGATTGCCTGAGCCCCTGGGTTCGAGACCCGCCTGGGCAGCGAGACCTCATCTCTACAATATATCAAAACAAAAAACAAAAAACAGCCAAGCGTGGTAGTGCATGCCTGTAATTCCGGTTACCTGGAAGACTGAGGCGGAAGGATCGCCGGAGCCCCGCAGGTCGAGGCTGCAGTGGCCAGGAGCGGCCACTGCACTCCAGTCTGGACGACATAGTGAGACTCCAATTCAAAAAAAAAAAAAAAGGGAAGGAAATCATCCTTCCTGGTCCCTCTTCCTTAATGCCTAGCATATAGTAAGGGTCATTAAATATTTGCCAGGTAAATTATTGGCTAAATACTTACAATAATAATATTATCTGGCTAGCCTAGGCAACACAGCGGGACTTTGTCTCTATAAAAAATAAAAAAATGTGTTGGGCGTGGTGATGTGTGCCTGCAGTCCTAGCTACTCGGGAGATTGAGGCAGAAGAATCACCTGAGCCCGAGAGGTCAAGGCTTGGTGAGCTGTGATCAAGCCACTGCACTCCATCCTGGGCGACAGAGTAAGACCCCAACTCAAATAAATAAATAAAAATTTGGAGCTAGTTCACAAACCTAAAGTAAACATAACTCACCGTACTTATATTTATAAATTATTCATTTCTTTTATTTTTCACTGTCCTCAGCTTAAATTTACATCAGGCTGGAGCTCCCCTGATACTGAACATCTGATTCTTCTCCCTCTAGTTTTAGTTGATCTATGCTCTGGAACGCAAAATAATTCAATACTAGCCTAAGCAAAATATAATTAGAAAGTTAATCTCCAGGAAAAGAAACATATTGAATTTTTAAATCAAGTATTGAACATCTTTTTTGCTAAACAATTATTTTGAATTCTCCTTTATCGTTGTTGCTTTCTTTTAACACATGAACTTGGAGTTGTTGGAACTAGCATTGTCTAGTCAAGAGCCAACATTTGTCCTGGTTTGTATTCAGTAATGTGTTACCTTATAATAACTCCTTCTGCTTCATTTTCACTTTTATTTCTCCCCACTGCCCCCCTATCTCTTTTAAAGAAAAATACTATTTTTAGATAAGGATAAATTGAAAATGCTGAGGCATTTTGATTAAAAATATCATTTAATATATTTCAAGTTTTACTATTATCATGGATTCTGGACTATAAACTCCTTGATGCCGAGGGCCATATTATTCAATCTTTATGTCCTCTGCAGCACCCAGCAGAGTGTCTTGCACAGATTAGGTATGCAATATATATTTATTATGGAACATAATCAGAAAATGGTATAAATTAATTTACTTCCCGAAAATACAAATGAGGAGATAAATACAAGAAATCGCAGAAACCACATTGTGTTTTGATCCTCTTTAGTCCAGTGGAATGAGGTACTAGTAGTAATACAAGTCAAGATGCCTTATTTTTAAGCAGTTTTATTGGACTTCTCAAGTGCACAGAAATAGCAGTTAGCAATGAACTAGAAAGTGATCTGTAAGCATGGGGAGGAAGTACCCATTTTCATAGGCTTTTATCAGACCCCTACTCTTTCCTTGTCCAGTACACAGGAACTATTAGGTATCCATTAAAAGGCAACCATGTCCAGAAAAAGAGAAGTTCCTTCAGAATTTATAACAGGAAAGAGATTATGAGTGTGATCCTTGGCCCTTAAGGAGAAAAGGTTCATCAGTATCGACGACCTTGTCCTCAGCATGGAGGATCAGGAACACTCCTTTTCCCCTAGCTAGCCCTGAGACGAACCTAGGAGTTTCACTTTGAGCAGTAGACCTGAGATTCAAACCCCAAAACTCTATCAAACTGCAACTTAGCATTAAATTTGGGAAAAGAAAAACAACAACAACAACAACAACGATTTGAAGGTGAATGGCTTTTACCCCACAGAACCAGTTATTCTCTAAGAAACTTAAATATTTATGTAGCACTTGGATGCCTGATGTTGTTGCTGTTGCTAATACTCAAACACGTTAATCTTACAGGAGATCCTTGTGCCCAGTTTGTGGATGCAACAAATGATAGATGGAACAGACATTGTTCATGTGTAGGCTATGTCTGAAAGGGCCTTCACAGGCAGGGAATTTAATTTTCTTTCATTCTCAAGAACCTTGAGTACAGTCCAGACTTCTCCACCCAATTTGCCTCTCGTTGGGCCAGACGTGTTGGACTAGATTGTTTTTCCATCTCTGTTGAAGTGATCAAGTCTTACGTGCTATCTGTCCTACTTTCAGCTGCGTTTCAGATGACTCTGTAAAGCAGTATACATCCCGGGATCACCTAGCAAAGCACTTCCAGGTTCCGGTCTTCAAGTTTGTGGGCAAAGACCACAAGGTGAGCTGAACCTCTTTACCTTGTAACCCCTGAATCTCACTCAGCCTTTCTTCCCAGTATCCCAATGTGTTGACATTCTAAGAGCCCACTGTGAGGATCTGTGCAACCTCTAAGAAAAATATGGAGAAACTGACCTTCAAGACGCTTAATACTTTCATGAATGTCACGGTTATCCACTCCCCCCATAAAATAACTGTACTTTTCTAATAAAATACCATAGGATCACAATTTAAAATCTTTATGAGCAGGTTGGTTGAAAAAGCCAGTATGGTAAGTCAACCCACAGTGAAGGATATGGACAGGAAATTCACAGAAAAGACAAATAGTGCAATGTTCAGTAAATACGGTACTTCAAAATGCCAATTGAAATAGTTATAAAACACCATTCTATACATATTAAATTTATAGAAATTATAAATTACAACACTTACAAGGTTATAGGGAGAAGTATACAGTGGTGGTATAAATTGATATACTTTGTGGAAAGTAGTCTGATAATACATAATCATAACCATAAAATCATCATATTCTCTTATCTAGAAATTCCAATTCTGACAGTTTCTCAAAAGCAAAACAAAATAAAAAACAAGGTACGTTAGAACTGTTTGTAGGTCATTGTTATTAAAGAATGAAAGAAAAAGCCCCCAGACAGAGCTCAGGACTACAGTGCATCAACTTAATGCAATATTAATAGTTATTCAAATGGTAAATATGGAAAAAACAGACACACGAAAAAACTGTTGTCATCACAACTTACATGCCTATTAAATATGCTACGTTAAAAAAACATAAACATGGGTCGAGTCTAAAAGGGCTGTATGGAAAAGACTATGGTGAGATAAGGTGGGAGTTTTGTTGTTTGTGTTACTGTGTCGTTGTTGAAGCATTTAGACCAAAGGACGTTTAAGAGTCTGGGTTCTTTTCCACACTGCCTTTAAGTGTATTTGTGTCCTTTCCAGCTGTATCACAGTGGCAGAACAACTGCTGACAATCACGGCGAATGACAATCTCCCTCAATCAAGCAGTCAGCTTTAGGCAGTTGCTTATTTAGAAAGGTGCTTGGAGAAAGAACTTGTTATGTTACAACACAAGTGCTGGGGCAATGTTATCTCCAGACCTTGATGTGAAGAGGGAAGATGTGAGCATTATCAGATGTTGCTTCACAAAAGTCTCTTCTGTTCCAGCACAATGCAAAAGTTATGAATGTGGGTTTTTAAATCAGCCATGTGACTCAAATTCTAACTTTGCTGCAGATGTGTAATTTGGGGGCAAGTTCCTTTAACCTAAGCCTCTGTTTTCTTATCTGTAAAATGGGGGTGGTGACCTTTACCTCAAAGTGCTGTTGTTAAGCTTAAGTGGGAGGATGTTCTGGATAGGTGCCCTCAGTGGCAGCGGCTATCACTGTTTTTATTAATGATTGTGATCATCTCTTCAGGAGGTGTTTCTGCACTGCCGGGTTCTTGTCTGTGGCATGCTGGACGCGCGTTCCCGCTGTGCCCAGGGTTGCCATCGGCGAATGCGGCGTGAGGCGGGAGGAGAGGACTCAGCTGGTCTACAGAGCCAGGTGCTGACAGGCGGCCCCATCAGCATCGACTGGGAGGACTAGTTTGTGGCAACTAGCCTGTCCCTGCTTCAGGTCGCTCTGCCCTGCCTGGAGCTTCCCCCACAGCGTTTGAACGTCAGCCAACTTCCTAGAACACCTAACCTCTTTACACGTCACACTGAGTTTAGACAATGCCCAGAACCGACTCACCGTGATTCTGGTCCATTGGGTCGGCACAGGTCACAGCGCTGCTGAACAGCGTGGCCTGGGTGGGGTTTCATCTTCCTGATGTTTGTCCAGAAAGCAGCTCACCCCATTTCCCTCATGTCTTTCCTACAATTAAATACCTCGTGCATGATGCAATAGGACCACTAAAATCAGAAGTTGGGTATAATATTTTAAGTTAGTAACCTTAAGAAAATTTAAGTATTTACTGAAATAATGACTTAAATACCAAATGACTTCTTAAATATGTAAATAATAATAATTGTACCCTGAAATTCCAATTTAAATGCAGAATAGCTATAGGGGATTTAGAAATTTACCCGTACAACATTGTATAATTTAAAAATTAGCATTTGGTTGTTCTCTTGTATAATATTTTCTTTTGATATTTTTGTATTTCCTTAAGTGAACTATTTTCCCTTAATAAATATTAATAAATTCATCAACATGCATTTAAATGCTTCAATGACTGAACTGTAACAAAATTAAATTTGGTATCATATGCCCTGTTATTTGGTAGTGAGAGACCCAAGAGATTAAAAAAAAAACAAAAACACTCTAAGAGAACTATTACTATATGAATTCCTACCCCACGTTCACTGTATTTGTTTGCAGTGTTTGTACTTAGAACTTTGTTAAGTTTAATTTTTGTCTCATAAAATAACCGATTGCTTCTGCAACTGCTGCTAGCAGTATGTGAATGTCAAGTAATAAACCCCTCCCGGACATTCCTTTGCTTAGCCTGCCTGCTTGCTAAACCTAGCTTATCTGACATTCCACTCTGCTCATTTAGCAGCTCCCCCATCAATCACAGGTAGCTGAGCGGACCAGACCAATCCCAAGTGCCCCCGTACCCATTAGGAGAAATTAACCTATCATGTAAAAACAAGTTTAAAGTTCTTTCCCCTCCCTCTGTAATGATGTATAAAAACTGCTTGCCATGCTGGATCCGGGCTCTTGTCCCTGAAGCTGCTGCTTCGGGCGTGAGCCCAGACTCGAGCCTGAATAAAGACCCTTGTGTGTTTGCATCAGAGCTGGCTCTTTGTTAGTCTCTCGGATTCTGAAATTTGGGTTTTACAGTAATCTGTGCCTTCAAGCTTAGAAGACAATAGAAAAAAGTATAAAATTCTGCCATGTTCTGTTTTGTAGGTTCTTAATACATTTTATTGAGAGAAATATAAACCACAAAGATAAATTTTGTGTGAAGTACAACTTTTTTTTTTTTGAGACAGTGTCTCACTCTGTCGACCCAGCTGGAGTACAGTGGCCCAGTCATGGTTCACTGCAGCCTCAACCTCCTGGGCTCAAGTAATCCTTCCCATCTCAGCTTCTCCACCTCCGGTAGCTGGGACTATAGGTGTGACCACCAAGCCCAGCTAATTTTTTCATTATCTTTTTGTAGAGACAGGTTCTCATTATGTTGCCCAGGCTGATCTCAAACTCCTGGGCTCAAACAATTCTCCCACCTCGGCCTCCCAAAGTGCTGGGATTATAGGCGTGAGCCACCATGCTGGGCCAAATCCAATTTTTTAATATGCCAATTAACTTTATGGCTTTACATAAGATAAGAAAAAGTTTTTCTTCTTTTTCTTTCTAAAAGAAATGCCAAAAGGAAAGGAAAGGACAAAGTGATTAGATCAGAGGTCAGCCATTTTTTTCTGCAAAAGGCCACATGGCAAATATTTTAGGCTTCCTGGGCCATAACAGTCTTTGTCACTACTCAGCTGTGTTTTTTGTTGTGCAAACACAGCCACAGAGAATACGCAAACAAATACGAACCTGGCTGTCCAATAAAACCATACAAAAACAGGCCCACGGGACTTAGTTGGCCAGTTCCTGGTCTAGATGAATGGCCCCCAGCCCTCGCTGTGCACCAGAATCACCTGGAGAGCATTTTTACCATACCAGTGCATATAGTACGCATGCGCCACCTCCAGAGAGTCTTTGCTGCCCTCTTTTAACTGGTCCTCAGGTATTCCAAGCCATAGTCAGGGCTGAGAACCACAGCTAGGGCAGGGCCATCTGTCTCTCACTCCCCACAGGCTGCAGGGACTTTTCCCAGCTGTCTCCGTCAGTAGCACTTAACCAAGTGCATCTCAGATCTTAGCCTGACGCTAGCACCACGTGGTAACCGGGAATACCAACAGGGGTAAGTCACCTGAGGAAAAAATGAAACCTCAGAGACCTAATTCCATCTGACCTTCACTTCCACTGGCCTTAATCAGATAAGCCTCCGACCCTGTTTTTCTCTCTTTGGCATCAATGGAAATAATTGTTGTCATCAGTGGAACTTACCAGGTTGGGTTCTGGTCTCTTCTAAGTAAAATGGAAACAGAGTGGTGATAATGGAACTCATTCATCTCTTTCCAAATTTTCTAAAAAGTACACTTTATTAAACATGAGACGCTTGCTGGCAACTGAAACACGGACCAGAGGGAAGTCACTGACTCCCAAATGGTCGGACTCCCCAAAATTTCACTTATGAGCATAATAATCAGGTCCAGGAATTGCCGGGTTTGCTTGTATTTTAGTCTTTAAGCTAAGAACTCGAGAATTTCCAGGCAAAGATGTCTTGGTTGAGGAGACCGGTGTTGAAGTGAAAGGTAGCCTTCAAATCACTCCTCGCCTTTTCTCCGTTTTCCTCAAAGGGTGGGACTCATGTCCCAGCTGTAGAACAATGTTTCCTTTCTCCTGCTTTGTGGTGTCCACACACCAAAGAAACAGTTTGAGAGAACTGTCATGCTGCCGTCTCTAAGGCTGACAGCTGTGGTGTCACTCAAAACCAGGAAGGAATCCCCTGTTCCTCATAACTCTTCTTTCTCCTCTTCCGCACAGATGCAAGCTGCCCGCTGACTATTCATAAAGGGTCGGCAGCCCAAGGTCCATACGGTATTGAACACAGTGTCAGCCAGAGAATCACAGGCTACTTGAAAAAGATTAAGAGAAATATAAAGGTTAACATTGAGTCATTTTGAAGAGGCCCCATATTTCCAAGGATGACGTGATACCCAATGGAAAGCAAAGCCAGTGATCCAAACGCAGAATGAGAAGGAAGAGCATACATTTCAGAGAAGCTTTTTCAGAAAAGCTCCCACCCAGCTCAGTAAAGCAGATTATACTTTGGGGTGCCCTCCTTTTTTGGGTCCCTGGTCAAAATGATGGTTAGCAACCAGAATCTCCCCAGACTACCATGCTCACTCCATGGAAGTTCTGCCATTTTTGCAGAATATAACACTGCGTTTTCTATACTTTCCCTCTTCAAATATGGGATGAAGTCAGTCATTCATCGACTGAAAAACATTTGTGTGTTGGATCTGCGCGTCAACTACTCTCTTAGGAGCCAGTGATACAGAGAAAAAAAGGAATCATCCCCAACTCAGGAATCTCATTGATGGTCAGGATAGACAGGTCACTAGAGGTTACCCTACACCATGATGAAATTAACCCCAAGGCAGTATGGGAGCCCACCGAAAGGGTCTCTATCCCTTTAGGGTAAGAGTTATTAGAAAAGATATCTCAGAGGAAATAAGATATCTAAGTTTAAACCTCAAGAATGATCAGGAAAATGAAGTACTGATACATGTTAAAACATGAATTGGCCGGGCTCGGTGGCTCAGCCTGTAATCCCAGCACTTTGGGAGGCCAAGGCAAGTGGATTGCCTGAGCCCGAGTGTTCGAGACCCGCCTGGGCAACTTGGCGAGACCTCATCTCTACAATAAATCAAAAAATTAGCCAGGCGTGGTAGCGCGTGCCTGTAGTTCCAGCTACTCGGAAGGCTGAGGCGGAAGGATCGCCGGAGCCCAGCAGGTCGAGGCTGTGGTGGCCGGGAGCGGCCGCTGCACTCCAGTCTGGGCGACAGAGTGAGACTCCGACTCAAAAAAAAAAAAAAAAAAAAAATTAAATAAATAAATAAATATAAAACATGAATTAATCTTGAAAACATTATGGTAAGCAAAAGAAGCCAGACACCAAAGGCCACATATTGTATAATGCAATTTATACGAAACGTCCAGAAAAGGCATATCCACTGAGACATAAGATTAGTGGTTTCCAGGAGTTGTTGTACCTGGGGAGGTGGAGGCAGACTCAGATTAGAAGCGACTGCCAATGAGTATGGGTTTCTTTTGGTGCTAGTGAAAATGTGATGGAATTAAATTGTGGTGATGGTTGCACAACTGTGAATAAACAACAAAAGAAAACATTGAATTGTACTTTAAAAAGGTGAATTTTGGCCATGCTCAGGGGCTAAACCTGTAATCCTAGCACTTTGGGAGGCCGAGGCAAGCGGATTGCCTGAGCCCGCGGGTTCGAGATCAGCCCGGACAATTTGGCAAGACCTCGTCTCTACAATAAATAAAAAATAGCTAGATGTGGTAGCGCCCACCTGTCATTCCAGCTACTTGGAAGGCTGAGGTAGAAGGATCACCGGTGCCCAGCAGGTCGATGCTGGGGTGGCCGTGAGTGTGCCACTGCACTCCAGCCTGGGCGACGGAGTGAGACTCCAACTCAAAAAAAAAAAAGATGAATTTCACAGTGTGTAAATGATATATCAGTTTTTCAAAGTTGGTTCATTGAAAAGATCAAAAACATTGACAAACTTTTAGCTAGACTGACCAAGAAAAAAAGAGAGAACTTAAATTACTAAATTTAGGAATGAAAGAGGGACATCACTACCAATCTTACAAGAATAAAGAGGATTATAGAGGAATACTATGAATAACTGCATGTCAAAAAAAAATTAAATAACAGATGAAATAGACAAATTTGTAGAAAGAAATAAACTGCTAAAACTGACTCAAGAAAATGTAAATGGATTATTAGTGTATGTAAATGGATTATTCGTGTATGTAAATACAATTACTAATCTAAGCTCTTGATTTAGTCATTTAAAACTTCCCCCAAAGAAACCCAATTCTACTTAGCTTCACTGGAGAATTTTACCAAATGCTTAAGGAAAAATTAATACCAATCATTTCTAAACTCTTCCAAAAATTTGGAGAGGAGGGATTGTTGCCCAACTCATTTTATGAGGTATTACTATGATACCAAAACCAGATTTTAAAATTTACTACAAAATGACAGTAATCAGACAATGTGGTAATGGCCTAGATCAATGGAATAGACTTGAGAGTCTAGAAATAAATCCTTACATTTATGGTCCAGTGATTTTTGACAAGAATGCAAGACAATTTAATGTGGGAAATAATAGACATCACAAGAATAGCAGAGTATACCAGTATCTATTACTAACATAGATGCCAAATACTCAGCAAAATACTAATAAACTGAATCCAGCAATATCTAAAAAAACTTTATAACCATGACCAAATGGAATTTATGCTTAAAATGCTAGGTTGGTTTAATATACTAAAAATCAATTAATATAATACACCCTATCAATAAAATAAAGGACAAATATCACAGGATTGTCTCAACAGATTGCAGGAAAAAATTTTTGAAAAAAATTAACACTTTTTAAATGATAAAAACACTCAACAAACCAGGAAAGGAGAAGAACTTCTACAGACTGATAAAGCCCTTCTAGAAAAAATCACAGCCAACAATCATGTTCAATAGTGAAAGACTGAATGCTTTCACTCTAAGATCAAGAACAAGACAAGAATGTTTACTCTCAACACTTCCATTCAATGTTGTACTGAAAGTTCTAACCAGGGCAATTAGGTAGGAGAAATAAAAGTCATCCAAACTGGAAAGGAAGATGATATGCAGATGACATTATCTTGTGGTTAGGAAAACCTATGGAATCCACAGAAAAATCTATTAGAACTAATAAATGATTTCAGCCTGGTTGTAAGATATAAGAAAATATACCAAAAAATCCATTTCTTTTATCTGTCCTATCTTCCTTTCTTTTCTTTCCTTCACTTTTTTTTTTCCTTTTTTGAAATAGGGTCTCACTCCATTACCCATGCTGAAATGTAGTGTGAGATCATAACTCACTGCAGCCTCAGACTTCAGGGCTCAAGGGATCTTTCAACCTCAGCCTCCCAAGTATCTGGGACTACAGACATGCACCACCACACCCAGTTAATTTTTTTATTTTTTGTAGCAATAAATTCTCCCTATGTTGCTCAGGCTGGTCTCAAACTCCTGGCATCAAATGATCCTCCTGCCTCAGCCTCCCAAAGTGCTGCGATTACAGGCATGAGCCTCAGTGCCCAGCTGAAAAAAATCAGTGGCATTTCTATGCATTATCAATTAATTATCTGAAAATAAAATTAAGAAAACAATTACATTTACAATAGCATCAAAAAGAATAAAATACTTAAGAATAAATTTAACAGAAGAAGCCCAAGACTTGTACTGTTTTAAGAAATTAAAGAACACTTAGGTAAATGGAAAGTCATTCACATAAACATAGTTTTCTTCAGATGACAATATCTTCAAATTGATCTATAGAGTCAACAAAAGCCCTATCAAAATTTCAGCTGCTGTTTCTTGCAGAAATTTACAACCTAATCCTAAAACTCGTATGTAAAGTCAAAGGATCCAGAATTTCCAAAACAGTCTTGACAAAGAAAATAGAAGTTTAAAGACACTTCTTTATTTTAAAATTTACTACAAAATGACAGTAATCAGACAGTGTGGTAATGGCATAGATCAATGAAATAGACTTGAGAGTCTAGAAATAAATCCTTACGTTTATGGTCCATTGATTTTTGACAAGAATGCAAGACAATTTAATGTGGGAAATAGTAGTCTTTTCAACAAATAGTGCCAGAACAACTGGATATCCATGTCGAAAAGAATGAAGTTGGACCCCTGTCTTATACCACACACAAATGTTAACTCAAAATAGATCATAGCGTAAATGTAAGAACTAAAATAATTAAACCCTTAGAAGAAAACATGAGTAAGCCATTGTAATTTGGGATTAGGTAAAGTCTTATTATATATGACACCAAAAGTGTAAGTGACAAAAGAAAAAAATAGATAAATTGGATTTAATCTAAACTTAAAACTTTTGTGCTGCAAATAATACCATCAAGGACGTGAAAAAAAAGGGAGAAAATATTTGCTAATTATATATCTGATAAAGGACTTGCATACAAATTATATAAAGTACTCTTACAACTCGATATTGAAATAACAAATAACCTAATCTAAAAGAAACAAAGAATATGAATAGATGTACCTCCCAACCACATATGCAATGGCCAATAAGCACAAAAAAAGATGCTCAAAATCATTCACTGTCGTGGAAATGCAAACCAAAACCACAGTGAGATACCCCTTCCCATGCACCAGGGTCTATAATCAAAAAGATAATAACAGGTGTTGGTGAACATGTGGAAACACCACTGGTGGGCATGTAAAAAAGTGCAGCTACTTTGGAAAACAGTTTGGCAGTTCTTCAAAAAGTTAAACATGGAATTACCATTTAACCCAGCTATTCCTCTCCTAAATATAGGTATACCAGAGAGTAATGAAAACATGTCTCCCACAAAAACCTGTGCATAAATGTTTATAGCAGCATTATTCATACTAGCCCAAAGGTGAAAATAACCCAAAAGTCTATCAGTAGTAGAATAAATAAAGAAAATATCTTATAGTCATACAATGGAAAGTTATTCAGCAATAAAGGGAATGAACTGTGCAATGCAACATGGATAAACCTTGCTAGAGAGGGAAGCCAGTCACAAAAGACCACGTATTATATGACTCCGTTTACCTGAAATGTCCAGAACAGGCAAATCTATAGAGGTAGAAAGTAGACGAGTAGTTGCCTTGAGCTGGGCAGGGGGAGTTTGGAAAGCAACTGCTAATGACTAAGGGGTTCTTTTTGGAGTGATGAAAATGTTCTAAAATTGATGGTGGGCTTGACTGCATAACTAACTCTGTGATCATTAAGCCATTTAAATGGGTGAAGTGTATTGTACGTGAATTATAACAATAAGTGTTTCAACATCAAGAAACTTTGAATGATTAGAATGTTCCAAGCAGAGGGAACTGCAGGGACAGAAAGGTCTGGGCCATCCACCCACATAGTTTAGCATGGCGGGAGTCAAGAGAGAAATCAGGAATACCCAAGGTGACGCTGGAGAGGTCAGCTAGGACTGAATCAGAGAGGGCCATGTATGCCATGCTGAGGAGTCTGGATTGACGCCTTAAGGAGGAAGAATCTATTGAATGACTCAAGTGGGGAGTGCAGATGACCAGATTTGTGTGATAAAAATATGTCTGGTCCCAATGGGGAGAATAGTTTGGATGGGACACAGAGATTGGATTAATTTGCAGTAACCCGGCAAGTGAGATCTGAGAGATTTTTTAGGAGAAACAATCAGTAGGATATTACTTGGAGGAAGTAACTTGACCTGACCCCAGATTAGCAGCAGCCACTTTTTCGCCCTTTGTGGAAACAGAATAGAATGACATTCCCTTTCATGGGTCCAATGAATTATTCATATATTGGAGCCCTCACACCTTCGTTTCAGGACTGCACTCTAGACATTGATCTATGAACAAGATCCAAGATTCTTTCTACTGCTGACACTCTCTGTGGCAAAGGGCCAGCTCTTTATAAGCCTGAATTTCAACCTTTACCATCTAAAAATATAACATGCTAATACCTGGCTATAATGTTCTGGCTTCAGAAGCTGAGAGATTAAAAACTTTTCCTAAGGCAAATTGGGAAAAAGAAATGACAGAGTCAGGGCTTGAAACTGGGTAGCAAAGCAGTTGGATAAAATAATTATCCTCAAGTATACATAGGCCTTTACACACAAAAAGAGGTTTTTTGTTTTTGCTTTTTTAATTCCTTCCCTGACTGAAAACAAAATAAGAAAAAAAGGCCTTAAGCCAAACCAAGTGGTCTTATACAGAATAACTCCAGGTGTGGAAAATAATTTAACAGTGGAATGGATAGCCCAAGCCAGTTGGGCAACTCTTTCTCCAGTCTTCAAGTCTAGGTTTTTATTTCTCTGGGAAGGTTCTGGTGTGGTCTTTTCCATCAGGAGTGGCGCCAGCAGCCCATGGGCAGGACAGCAAGAACTTTAGTGAAGGAGTGCCCAGAATCTTCTTTCACCCTCTTCATCAGTCACAACGTTGCATAAAGAACATCCAGTGAGCTTCCCCGATCTCTTTGAGTCAAGGGACCCTGGCTACACCTCTGTGTGAAAACAGGAACAGAACTCCCTGCTCACAGGCCATGCCCTGAAGATACCTACCTTCCACGTTGGAGACAAAGCCCAGACTCCGCTTAAGGTCAGAGCAGATCGAGTGGAGACACCATCGGAATTTTGCATCGCAGCGATATTTGTTGGCACCACAGATGTCATAACAGACATCCAGCTGGTTGCAGCACTTGGTCATTGCTGGAATGCCCAAGCCCATCTGGGGAAGAATGAAGAAAGGAAAAAGAAAGGGGAAAAAAACGCCACGTTTAGACGAAAGACCTTAAGCAACCCTACCCACCTTGTTATTAACTGGCCACTTCTCACATTTCTGTGACATATTCAGATCAGTTCAGAAACACCACTGACTCAGTAGAATACATCAGACTGAGAGTCACAGGATGCTACATTTTCCTTATGTGGCTATTCATTTAATAAGCAACTTTGGCCCATTTTCACCTTTTTTTTTCTTAGAGAGGGCCATGTATGCCATACTGAGGAGTCTGGATTGAATCCTTAAGGAGGAAGAATCTATTTTAGTAATTTTCAAATCTGCAGGCTGCTACAGTGATGAAAAGAGACCAGAAGGTTATTCAAGAGGGTAGAGCAAAAGACTTCCAAATTTAACCGAAACTTAAGTTAACATTTCCATATGAGATTTTGTTTGAACAAAGGATTTCAAGGCTAAGAAGTACAAAAAAATTCAGTCTCAGTTCATCAAGAGATCACCAGTATCCCATACAGCACTGCTTTAAGGGTGTGTGATGTGTCTGGATATGTCGGGGAGGGTGTGGGATGCAGAACTCAACAGTCCCTGGCCCACAGGGATGATGGGCAAACCACAACATCACACACACAGGTGGGTTCTGTAATACAGATACATGTTTGAAAGGATTTTCTTTCTCCTGTGTCCAGTCACACAGTGATGATATGGACAAGGCTGAACACACAGCTGCTCAGGTGGTGCAGTGTACAAGGGCACCATGACTGAGGGGCACCCACCTCAAGACATCATAGATTCATAGATTTATGTATTTATTAAGAACAATATCCAGGCCGGGCTCAGTGGCTCAGCCTGTAATCCCAGCGCTTTGGGAGGCCGAGGTGAGTGGATTGCCTGAGCCTGAGGGTTCGAGACCCGCCTGGGCAACTTGACGAGACCTCATCTCTACAACAAATCAAAAATTAGCCAGGCATGGTAGCGCGCGCCTGTAGTTCCAGCTACCGGAAGGCTGAGGCGGAAGGATCGCCGGAACCCAGCAGGTCGAGGCTGTGGTGGCCGGGAGCGGTCACTGAACTCCAGTCTGGGTGACAGAGTGAGACTCCGACTCAAAAACAAACAAACAAACAATATCCAGCAACCAATCAAGTTTCTTCTTCTAGCAAAATAAATATATTAAGATCCATTTCTGCCAGATGAAAGAAAGTCATCTTGAGGAAAGGGGATCTTATTACAATTTGCACGAAAATGCCACATAGGTGAGTGGCATTTAAGTTAGAAGGATAAACATTATGCTGCATAGAATATTATTGCAACAGCCCCGCGTGGTGGCTCAGCCTGTAACCCCACACCTTTTTTTTCTTTCTTTTTTTTTTGAGTTGGAGTCTCACTCTGTTGCCCAGCCTGAAATGCAGTGGCATGCTTACGGCCACCCCATCGTCAACCTGCTGGGCTCAGGTGATCCTTCCACCTCAGCCTTCCAAGTAGCCGGAACTACAGGAGTGCACTACCACACCTGGTTAATTTTTGATTTATCGTAGAAACAAGGTTTTGCCGAGTTGCCCGGGCTGGTCTGGAACCCGCAGGCTCAGGCAATCCACTCACCTCGGCCTCCCAAAGTGCTGGGATTATAGGCTGAGCCACTGAGCCCAGCTGAAGTTTAGCCTTACTAAAACAATTCACAATCATGGCTTTGATATAAAATCTCTCTATATACATTTTACATGAAACTTCTTTTCTAAAGTGAAAAAGGTAGGCGGGGTGTGGTGACTCACATCAGTAATCCTAGCACTCTGGGAAGCCAAAGTGAGAGGATTGTCTGAGCCCAGAAGTTCGAGGCCAGCCTAGGCAACATACCAAGACGTACTTGGGAAGCTGAGGCAGAAGGATTGCCTGAGCCCAGAAAGTCGAGGATGTGATCATGTCACTGCCTGGGTGATAGAGTGAGACCCTGAATCAAAAAATAAAATAAAATAAAGTGAAAAAGATAAAAGGGCTTACTAAGAAGTTTTAAAATAAGTTAATTCACTACTTGTTTTAAGGGGAAGCCAACTGAGAAAAGGTCAGTGTGCTGAGCATAAAGCACTGGTGTGTGGGCGTTAGCAGATGTCTATGGTGTCAGTACTCCAAACATGGTTGGTTTGATGATATCAGCGTGAAGTCATGATGACATAACAGCACTCACTGACCAGCACCCGGCAGCTCCAGCACACCATTGGAATGGTTCATAATTTAAATAAGTCAAACATCAGCTCTGTTTCAAATTAAGTCATGTTTTGGGAGCCTAAGTTTCTACTAATGTTGCAGTGGCGATTTCAGAGTGCTGAGCTACTACCAAGGGCTTCTCTGAGGGACAGCTGCTTCTGAGAAAAGGAAATCAGATTATCTTCTTTGAAAATTATCTCCCTTCCTCTTTCTTCAATTAAAATGCCTAATTATATTGTTCAACTAGATTCCATAAATGGTCACTTCCATCAGTGATAGTGCTCGAATTACCCTTAGTTAAGACCAGTCAACCAAGAAGGTAACGTTGGCAGTACATACACTTTCTGGTACCTTGAGACCCAGGAAATAGGAGCTGCAGCCATTGGGTTCCTGGGGCTTGTAGCCGGGTCTGGGCATTGGTGCCTTTCCTAGCAGGAAGAAGAAAGGAAAGGAGCCAGAAGAGATAATTAGAAATCAAGCATTTGGGAACATTCATCAAATGAAATTCATCAAATGAAAATTTTCTAAGAACATATTTCATTTTTTTTTTTAAACCCACTGTTCCTCACATCCCAATTAGGTGATAATGATGTCATAAAAGAATAATAACCTTGAGACCTGTTTGTCATTTTTCTCCTAATCTCAAAGAATTCCATGAGTATTTATTTATTTACTAAGCATTCTAACATTTCTTACCTGCGTGATGTTGAAGATAAGGGCCATGGCAAAACCAAACTAAAACTCAAGGTTCCTTAATCCTCCAGCCATTGTAAGACCACACGCCACACACCGAAAAGCAAAATATTACTAGACCATCCCCTTAAGGAAATGGAATTGTAGCAGTACTATAGAAGTGTGTAAGATTAGCCTGAAAGAAGTTTAGCACGATTCCATAAATGTAGACAAAGTACTACTGAGCAAAGAGCAAAGAGAACACTCTGAAGCAATATTTAGGCATTTGTATCATAGAACTAAGCAAAAACAATCTGAAAAGCTTTGAATTTCTTGGTTTTATGATCTTGCAAATGTCAGTTGTATCAATGGCAGTTGTATCAATGGCAGTCATCACAGGTAAAACTAACCTTGGCCTGAGATAACCTCGAGATAGTCAACTGCATGGAGTGTTTTATCCCATTAACCTGACCAAAAAGATGAGACTAAGAGGCTGCATGATTGTACCCCATATCTTAAAAAAAAAACAAAACAGAGGTTGCATGATTTGCCCATTGAAAGGACATAACAAGGAGTCAATATAGCCAGAGCAGCCCTGTTAACACTGCCTAATTGTCATGTCTTTCTTACAGTTCACTTAACTTACCCTCTAATCACGAGCCAAGGACAGAACCAGTTTCTCAGAGGTAGCTATTGATAATTACTTTACAATGCCCTCCCAGCTTGTTTTGTACTAATTAGCTTTTCTATTACAAGTAGTTGCCTTCACCCATAAGACCCAAGTTAACCGAATCAGCCCTTCGTGACTTTCATGATACAGACAGACCCCATTACCACGGCAGTAATCATGTGACAAACCAACTGTCCGCTGTCCATCACCTGACATCAGTATCTGCGTTTACCTGTCCCATTCATGATGGTGTGGAGCAAACCAATCACCTTAAAGACCTTAAAGACCTTCTCTCCATCAAAGGAAAAGTTTAAAAGGATTCAACGTCAAGCAGACAGCCACCATTTCCTTGCTAAGCTATGGTCTGGCCACGTGTCCTTTGAGCTTTGGCCCCCTTCCGCCTTGGGGAGGTGAATCTCAATCTCTCTCCCCTCATTTGCCATTGCCTTGCTAAGTTATGATCTAGCCACCTGTTCTTTGAGTGCTGGCCAGGACATGTTTTCTTAAGTTTTGGCCACTTCCCCTACCTTGGGGAGGTGAATCTCCTCTCTCTCTCTCTCATTTTCTTTCTAAATAAACTATATTTTCTAATCTAACTTCTGTGCAAGATTGCACACACACCCCATCAGGTCTAACCTAACTTTTTAGAGGCCCTACTGGGATCTTTAACATAACACCCACCATCAACAAGTGGGGGAAATAAGATATAAAGTTAGATTTCTGGTTTGTCGCCAAAGCCCATGTTCCTTCACACTTCTGTCTCTTTATAGGAGATACAAGTCCCAGCATAAGCCTGAGGGAATGTGTTTAACAATAACTAATCCCAAAGTGAGACACATAGCAGTTCTTTTTTATTTATTTCCTTCAATCTTCTCCTACCATGTATTTATTTTTGATTACTTTGTATTATGAGGTATTTCAAAACTGATGAAAAATCAGAGGAAAAAACACCCCTGTACCCACTGCACAAACACAGTAAATGTTGACATTTACCAAACTTGCTATAAATATTTTTCCTATTTAATTAAATGTAGTTCAAGAACAGGATCGGGTATAGGGTTAGGTGCAGTTGAAGCCCCTTTACACCCCATCTTTCTGTTTTTATTTTGGATACTAAGTTTATATTTTAAAGCCCTTCTTTAGACCAGGCACAGTGGCTCACGCCTATAATCCCAGCACTTTGGGAGGTCGTGACAAGAGGATTGTCTGAGTTCAGGAGTTCATGACCAGCCTGGGCAACATCTTGACAATAAATAAAAAAATTAGCCAGACGTGGTGGCACAGGCATATGGTTCCAGCTACTTGGAAGACTGGGGCAGAAGGATCACCTGAGCCCAGGAGGTCGAGGCTGTGGTGGCCATGAGCGTGCCACTGCACTCTAGCCTGGGTGACAGAGTGAGACTCCGACTCAAAAAAAAAAAAAAGTCCTTCTTCCTTATTATTCCTCAAAATTGTCTTGATTATCCTTGGACTTTTACTCTTGTATATGAATTCTAGAGTCAACTTAGTAAATTCTACAAGAAATAATATCAGAATGTTGATTGACAATCCATTGAATGTATAGTTTAAAGACAACTGTCTTTCTTAGGATACTCAGTCTTCCTAAACATGGGCATAGAATAATTCTCTATTTACTTAGGTCTTCCTGTATGTCCATCAATAGCGTGTTGCAACTTTCCCCATATATTATTATATCCCTTATATACTATATTATTCAGATTCTTAAACACGATAGAATATCTCACAAAAATCCAGAAGTGCTGAGCATGGTGGCTCACACCTGTAATCCCAGCACTTTGGGAGGCCAAGGCAGGGGGATTGCTTGAGCCCAGGAGTTCAAGACCAGCCTGGGCAACATGGTGAAACCTCGACTCTACAAAACAAACAAAGAAACAAATAAATAAATAAGCCAGGCATGGTGGTGCGTGCCTGTAGTCCCACCTACTCGGGAGGTTGAAGTGGAAGGATCACCCAAGCCCAGGAGATTGAGACAGTCGTGACCCGTGAACGTTGTGATCATGCCACTGCAGTCCAGCCTGGCTGACAAAGTGAGATCCTGACTCAAAAAAAAAAAAAAAAAATCCAGAAGTAAGGATCATGAGGCAGGTGTGGCAAATCTATACTTTTCTGGAACCCAGGTTGTCTGTGGCTTTCTGCTCTACCTGCCCTAGAGTGTGTAGCCGTGGCTCTCATGGTCCAAGATGTAGCATCGGCCAACACACCCTTATTATCCGCAGCTGGATGGAAAGAATTCGAGTCTAGAGCCTTCCATTAACAAACGCACTCCAGAATGTTACATGCATCACTTCCTCATACTTCCCTCTGGCCGGACCTTAATCCAGTGGCAACACCTAGTCTCAAAGGTGGGCTAAGAAATGAAGTAGGCAGCCATGAGCCCAGCTAAAAATTGGGAGGAGGAGGGCCTTCTTACTGAAGAAAAGGGAAAGAGTGGATATTGGAGGACAACAAGCTGTTTCTCCTACGTTATGTTTGGGTATTTGTTGCTGTGACACAACACATGATATGAGATCGTGGTCTGAGTTGGCCCCCGGGTAGGTACACTCTTGCGTATTGTCCCAGAATGGTCTGTGTGACCAAGAGAATACCGCAGAAGTGGTGGTGTTTCTCCCGAGATTTGGTTAGAAAAGACCGTGATTTCTGCCTTGGAAGCTCTCCCTCTCCCTCAGTCACTCTGGGGGAGGCTGTGTTGTGAACAGCCCCACAGAAAGGCCCATGGAGGAAAGAACAGAAGCCTCCTGCCAATAGCTGTGTGGATTTGACAGGCGATTCCAGCCCCAGTCAAATCTCAGAGATGGCAGCACCAGCGGGCAGCTTGACCTTAACCTTATGAAAACCTCTGAGCCAGAACCATCCAGCCAAGCCGCTCCGGGATTCCTAACCCTCAGAAACTGTGTGATAAATGTTTGCTATTGTTAGCCGCTAAGTTTTGGGATAACGTGTTACTCAACAATATATAGTTGTTGCAGTTGCCTTTATGACTTGGACCTCTTTCCATTACATTTTTTTCTATGTCAGCCTTATTTAGTTATAATTTACCTATCATACATCCACCCATTTAATGTGTACAGTTCGATGGTTTAGCATATTCAAAGAGTCACGCAACCATGGCCACAATCTAATCTTAGAACGTTTTTTTATCATCTCAGAAAGAAACCCCATACCTGTTAGCAATCACTTCTCATCTCCTCGTCCCTAGCCTGGGCACCCCCTTAACATGAATTAGATCATACAACATGTGGCTTCTTGTGTCGAGTTTTTCTCACTTACAGAATTTTTCAGGGTTCATCTATGTTATAGTATGTATTCATATTTAAGTTCTTTTTATTGCCAGAAAATGATTCATTGAAGATATGCACACTTAGTGTATCCAGTCATCTGTTGATGGACATTTGGATTGCTTCCACTTTGGGGCTATTATGAATAATACAGCTACAAATATTTGTATACAGGCTTTTGTGAGGACACTAATTTCTTCCTAAAAATGGAATTTCTGAGTCATAGGGTAATTTTTCTTAACAATCTAAGGAACTGCCACACTGTTTTCTAAAGCTACTGCACCATTTTGCATGCCCACCAGCACTGTATGAGGGCTCCAATTTCTCCACATCCTCACTAACACTTTTTATTTTCTGTCATTTTTATTATAGCCAGCCTAGTGAGTGTGAAGTGGTGTTTCATGTTAGTTTTGCTTTGTATTTCTTTAATGATTAATTATGTTGAGCATCTTTTCACCTACTTATTGGCCCTTCATATATTTTCTTTGGAAAAACGTCTTTTTTTTTTTTTTTTTTTTTGAGTCGGGGTCTCACTCTGTTGCCCAGGCTGGAGTACAGTGGCATGATCACTGCTTACCACAGCCTCCAACTCCTGGGCTCAAGAGATCCTTCCACTTCCAACTCCCAAAGGGCTGGGATTACAGGTGTGAGCCACCACACCCGGCAGAAAAACGTCTGTTTAAACCTTCTACCTAGTCTATAATCAAATTATTTGTCTTCTTACTGTTGAATTGTAAAAGTTCTTTATTCTAGAAATAAGGGCCTTGCCAGATTTGCAAATATTTTCTCC